CGAGGTTTATAAGCTCGTAAAGGAGGAAACATTTGGCGTAAGACTGACAGCTTCGCCTTTTAAGAGCAACACTGCTACTACAGAAACTTCAAGGCTTTACAACCTATATTCTACTAGGCACTCAAAGAAATGGAAAAATTATGCATTTTGGTTCTTTCTTTTCCTTTCAGAAAGGTATGCAGTATTACTGTGCCGATTCAACAGACGGAAGCATCTGTGGCTATCTGAGGTCGTACTGAATGAGAAAATTCAGTCTGATATCAGAGTTCAGCTTTAGAAATGCTCATTCAAAAGCTTTTACGCTCACACATAAAGTTTCGTTAACGTAAACAAGAAATTATTAGTAATTACCAACATAGTTTCAAGTAATTGTTGCTATTATTACTGCTTTTAATATTTTGCAATGATCAGTAATAATAATAATCCAAAATACTGATGTGCATTACAAGAAATGATTCAATCAAAATTAGATTATAGATTCCCACAATCTACTAAAGAAAGGAAAAGGTATTTAGTCAGTATGTTATCCGCACTTAAATGTCACGCTTAAAAAAGACAAGATCAACTTTAAAATATTGTTTAGTCTGATAAAATAGATGCACTTAACGAAATTGCTTTTCTAAATCCAATCTAAGACTAAAAGACGAGAATAAAAATTAATAAACAGTACATATAATATACACATTGCAAAAGTCTGGGTTAATGTTGTTGGATATTGAACATATCTACATTTGAGTCACATGAAAGCAGTACAAATTTAGACAGCATGGAAGTTATTAACTTTGAAAAATGACACACAACTGATGGTTAGCTTGAGTTATTTCCCCGATTTATGGTTTTTCAATGGCTAAAACACTATCAAGAGGTCTAGACATATTAGGATCTTGTACAAAGTACTTGATGGTGTTATACGGTTGGTTGTTTGATATTACTCAGTTCATTACTTTCTGATAAACTTAAAACAGTATAAGTACTTCGAAATTATCTCACTAGACACACACGAATGAATATTTGCTGATGATTATTGTATGGAAGAACAATAAAATTGTCCCTTCACCTAAACCTTCTACCGGCTCGTCATTTATTATTACTATATTATTATTCCCTTGAGTTTCCGAATGGAACATAGGGCTTCAACAACACATCTATATTTTATTCTATTTTCTGCCATCCTCTTTAGCTGGGTCCACGATTGGTCATAATCTCTCATCTTCTCATCACACGACCTCCTCCATGTCACCCTTGCACTGACGACCCACTTGTTGCTTCACATTCAGACTCCACTAGAACAATGGCCTGATGCGCGATGTTATTCGACGGTCTCCTCAAAGTATGCCCAATCCATCTTGATTTTCTCCTAAATACTTGTTGAGCAATCGGCTCTTGCTTGGTTTGTTCTTACAGTTTCTTACTAGTGATTCCTTCTGCTCAGCCATTTGATCTTCAGTATGGAGCCAGAGAAGACGGCTGTTGATAAAAGTCTGCAACCTGTTGGAAATCCTTTTCGTTACACTCCAATTTTCTGACCAGTATAGAGGGATGGACTTGACACTGGTGTTGAAAATCCGAATTTAGTTCTTCATGCTGGGTGAGTGCAAAAGATTTCTAAACCGACCTCAGATTGGTGAAGCTGTTTCTTCCCCTTTAGATTCTGTCTGGCATTGACATTTTCATGTGTTCCATCTGTAGTTGAAACGAAGCTTCCTAGAATAGTGAAGTAGGTAATCTCTGTTATATCTCTCCTATTGATGTTAGTTAACGTTAGATTTATCGCCATCACCTTACCTTTTTAATAATAATAATAATTTACTTTATTCCAAAAACAGTACTTGTGATACAGAATGGAATTTTCAGCATTAATCACAATATTGCATCTAATTTCCTCAAATTATAAATAAAATTAATCGCACAGAAAATTTTCCACATTTACAATAGAGGTAGTGTCAAAAACATGCAGCATATAAAATGGAAATAGCAATAATAATGATAACAGCTAGGGTAATAATAATAACAATACAAGTGAAAATTGCCGTTGCCTTGTGTCACACAGTATTGTCGATGCGGTATAGAAATCTTAGCTTGTTTAAAAATTACTGAATATAATGTTCTCTTTACATGATATGGTGAAGGGAAAAACAAAGATTACAGCAGTCATGGAGATAAGTTGGTGTTTGTTTTATGACAGTAAAACAGAGAAGCAACAGGACCATAAATATAATATAAATAATAATAGTAAAACTTGAAGGTGTATAAGGGTGGATGGAGGAAATTGTTTATTTACTAGATGAAAAAAGGTTAGTTAATTGTTGCCTGACACTATTTTCACCACATAAAATAAGTTCCAAGTATGGCATCATAGAATTTCTATACTTCGATGTGCGAACATACAGTTTTTTGAAGTTACTTCTTGTTCTACCAGAGGAGATGCAAGGGGAAAGCAGAGCGTAAAGTGGATGCTCCAAGTCGGACAAAATCCCTCCAGCAAATTTATTGCACGAAGTCAAGTGCCTATCGACAACGATGTTAACTATGTGGTCCACTGGGACACCACTCACCCTACTGACCGTCTTCAGCATTCTACGAATTGTGACATAGTCCTTTTTAAGCAAACCAGGAAAGAATAAGGGTGAGCAATAAAGAAGAATAGGTAGGATGCAAGAGTTTATGAAGTGTAAGAGGAGGGGTTGAGTTATACCTGAGTGTCTTAACTTCTTAATGTAAAATGTCAAGCGGAATATTTTACTGGAGATTGCTGGGACATGGGAAGTCCAGGAGAGATCAGAAGAGAGAATGAGTCCAAGATACTTAATTTCTGATTTGATTCCTATATCATTGTCGTCAATTTTACAACTGTCATGAGAATCAATGACTTCTTTTAACTGTCGTTTACATCTTAAGCTGAAATCAACAGTTTGACACTTAGAAGGATTCAGTTTAAGACCGTTAGACTCAGACCATTTGCTGACTTCCGATAGAAAGCTATTTATTTTAGTACAATCTAGCTGGGAGTTAACAGCCATTGAAACCGTTAAGTCATCAGCGTACTTCACAAAGTTTATTTCATCAGAGTGAGGCAAGTCATGCAAGAATAAAGAAAAAAGAAAAGGAGAAAGAACAGCACCTTGAAAATAGTAGAAAAATTACCCTTCTTTAGTCTTGAACTTTTTAATTCATGAACAATACCCATCCAGACAATAACGAACTTTTACTTGGAACTTTTAATGATCCAAAACAGGTTACTTACACACTCAGAAGAAGTACTTTTAATTTTTTTCGCCTGTTTTACATTATAATATTATTTCTAGTTTGGACAAAGGTGTCAAAAGTGTTCCGTGAACCTTTCTTCATTGTATGTCTGCTTTTGACTCCGTTAAACGAACTTGCTATAATAGATAGTTTGAGAGCGGTTGGCAGTTCACCTCATTCTTATGTTTTTAGAAAGAAACCAGTACAGATTATAGAAAGGAAAGTCTTTCCACCGCATGAAATGTTAAGGCCAATGTTGCTCAAGTTGGTTCTTTTTACTTTTTTGTTCACTTTCTTCTTGCAGGACATACGTCATTCTGATGAAACTAATTTTGTCAAATATATCGATAATCTGATGGTTTCTGTGTCGGTTACTTTCAAAACACATTGCCGCATAAAAATGGCTTTCTAACTGATTGAAAATACCCATTAAAAATTTCAGAAGAATATTATTCTCTATAACTTAATCATCAGGTTCTACAGTTATATTTATACATAATAGGGAATGAATTAGTGTTGTAAAAAACATTAATTTTTAATTAACATCGAATCAATAATAATACCAATCACATCAATATAACAATAGAATGAATATCAGACAGGTAAATCAGGGAAGATAATAATACAAATTCATGAATTTGTCGTCTCCACTGAAGGCCAGCCAGGTGAGTGGTTGGTGGAGTTGGTGGCTGGAGTTGCTTCTCTTGCACACGAAACGCTGGCTGTTTCGTGGGAACTGCGAATGTTGTTCATAATTCTAATTCATTCACTATAATGTATGTATACCTGTTGAGCCTGATGAAGAGCAGGTTATCGAAAAGAGTATTCTTCGTTCATTAAGCATTCTTTTGAAAATGGCTTTCTGTCAGGAATTAGTTATTAGTATTTGTGAAGTAGTTTTGGGCTAAATCTTTACAAGTCCCAGACTGTTACTTTCAATTTCAAACATAAACGAGACTAACATGAACTGGTTCGTTTTCATAATTCTTATAACAGAGAGTCGAAGCAGAAACTAAGTTTAATTGTCAAGTATGTTGGAGTAAATCTTTTCTGTGATCTTTCCTGGTTGTCCTACTTCCTTATGATGGAAATTTTAACTGGTATAAGAAATTTGCAAAAGTCATTCTGTCAGACTTTCAACAATCTCATAAATCAAAACTATCCCCTTGCATCCCTTCATGTAGGATCTTATACAAAGGAATACAAAACTCAACGACACCATATTTGACATGCATTTTATGTAACGAAAAGTGTTAGATGTGAATATGGCTTACCGTAACACCGTCAATAGATGACTATTTCCATTTTTGCTATTACTTATAGATTTTCGTCATTAATTCTAGTAACTGATAATTTATTTTCACGTTTCGATTATTATTATTATTACTATTTTTTTACGCTAAGTATCATGTTTATTATTACTGTTTCCTTGGGTTTCGAGTGGAGTAAGGGGCTTCAGTATCCCGTCGCCACTTTGTGCTATATTTTGCTGTCCTCTTCCAGTGTTGTCACGATCGTCCATAGTTTCTGATGTTCTCCCCTCTCGATTTCCTCCATGTCACCCTCGAAAGCCCTACTCGTCTTTTTCCATTGTGGTGAGAGCAGGCCGTGAGAAAATATGAGCAAGGCTGATTCAACAACCAATCACAGCAAAGTTAACGTGGCAAAATATGATTCGCAGATAGAGAACTCTATTTGTCGAGGAATCCCGAAACAACCAATCAGAAGCCTGCGTTTGTCTGCCTAACTTCTGATAAACAACCAATCAGATGACTGCGCTTGTCTACTTGCATAAGCTATAATAATGCATGTGAAATATGTATAAATACGTGTTGATTTTCATAATAAAACGATCTGTTGCCTGGCCCTTGTCTTCTGTTGTTACATTTGGTGTCGCTGCCTACCGACAAATGGAAAGCCTATGCCCTGCTGTTTTTGATGGAGGCATATGGATCTTCGGGCAGGACTTCAAGGCTTCTGCGCAGTTGAGTGGCGTTCAAGATCTGTCAGCGATGGAGCTGCTACTTGGGACGCTGCTGGGAGGTCGGGTGAAAGCAGCATATGAAAGTGTGAGACGAAATACTGACGAATGTTCGACAGGGTCAGGCAAACAGTTTCCAAAGTGGGAAGGACCACATATGGTCACTTCGAGATGGGATTACGCGGACACAATCGCAATGACGAACAATGAGAGGCGCGTGAACGTCAGTGAGCTCCAGAAATGGATACAGCGAGACAAGCCAACGATGACGCCTGCACCAAGTAGATCAAGCCGACTTCAGTCGCACGTATTTGACGGGGGGACGAGTGTGGTGAGAGCAGGCCGTGAGAAAATATGAGCAAGGCTGATTCAACAACCAATCACAGCAAAGTTAACGTGGCAAAATATGATTCGCAGATAGAGAACTCTATTTGTCGAGGAATCCCGAAACAACCAATCAGAAGCCTGCGTTTGTCTGCCTAACTTCTGATAAACAACCAATCAGATGACTGCGCTTGTCTACTTGCATAAGCTATAATAATGCATGTGAAATATGTATAAATACGTGTTGATTTTCATAATAAAACGATCTGTTGCCTGGTCCTTGTCTTCTGTTGTTACACCATTAGAGATCTACTCAAGATATGTCCTAGCGTGCGATATCATCCGACGGTCTCCTTAGAGTGTCCCCTGTCCATATCCATTTTCTTTTAAATATATATTGAACGCCATTTCGTCTTTTCAGTTCCGGCAAAAATGAGTTTGTTGTTTAGATTTTTTAAAATATATTTCCTGTGAATAGAAGTTTCCGTAGTAGTTTGACTGATTTTCTGGAGTAGGGTCGCTAGCCACACCCCTAAACCTTCTTTTTTTCCCAGGCTTCAGACTACCTGGAAAAATAGCGAGCTAGTTAACTAAACGAGACTGGTAAACATCATAAAGTTCTGAAATTATTTTTCCGCTTACTTTGTAATCCGAAGAAAACATTAGGCGTACTACCCTACAGTATGCTGAGAATTTCACATTACTAAAAATGTTTTTCATACTAAGGCCATTGATATTAATACCACATAAGATGGTAATTGACTTAGTAATGAGAGAAAGGCTACAATTAAATATGGTCTGAATTGCAAAAGTTTGTTATCTAAACAAATTAGACACTTAAATAGATTAGAAATGACACGTTCAGCAGGATAGCCTGGGCTAAACTTACGCCTCCGATTATTTTTATTTATTTACAATCCAAGGACGTGAAAATGTGTATGTTACGAACTATTTTTAAATTCATCAATAATATTCGACTCACCGACACAATATTATGCTACTAATAAATCTTTATGGAACTATAATGTTCTCCGCAACTTCAGTATTCTAGATACTGTGAATCTCCGGATAATTTAGTTAGGATTTACTTTTAGTATTCAGTACTTCAAAGCAACAAACTGTTTTATCATGAGGTGAATCTCATCAGCTGATAGCTTGTAGTAAATAAACTGTCAAAACACAATTTATCGTTGAAAGTTTTAAAAATTTAAAACACAAAAGGGAGTGTTACGCACAAAGTGTTTATATAAATCACGTTTTAAATACTGATGTAGTCCGGTAAAATAAATATTTTACATAAATTTCATACAACCAATTAACTTCAAGTTACATGACCAGACGTCATCGAAGCATCTGCACAACGAGCCAACATATCAACCTGACATAGAGCATTTCAATCTAATCAGTTGACAGGGAAAACTGAAATTTAATTAAATAATTAATAAGACCTGTTTCACAGGAGGTTGATCACGTGGCTCAAATGGTCTCTTGGATAACCTATCGGCGTTTGAAAGTATGGGCACTGGGTTCGAGCCTCGGTGGAAACACCATCACTGACTCATTGTGGGATGTAGGTACATCCACATGACGAGTGCCAAATAGTTCAATATGCGCATCCTCGCGTCCCCTGCAAGTCACTATCGACCAATAAATATTTCACCCAGTTTGTTAAATCAGGTGTAAATAACTGTCGACAAATATACAGTTTTTTCTTTACGTAAGTTAACTTGTAAAAGGAAAGATCTTGAAGAAATAGGATCAACAATTTTACTGTTTGATTGCATGAAGAATTTGACCATGAGCTGACATCAGTTAGAGAACCACTGGAAAACCTGAGAGTACTGGACAGAAGGTCCTGGGTTTGAATCCCGGTGGGTGCGTATTGCTGAAGAGTCCCAAACTACGACGAAACAGCTATCCTGTACTCCCTGGTTTTCCAGTGGTTCTCTAACTGATGTCAACTCATGGTGAAATCCTCCATGCAATCAAACAAAATTCCTGCGAAACCAATACTTGAAAATTTTGCTGTTGACGATGGTTCTAGTCATTTTCAACTAAACACCTTTATGTGTTTAGTATAAGATCAGCTTTCAACTGATTCTATGCAATATTTCTATTGATAATAATTGAATTACCATCATACTAACTTGATTTTGACAGCTGTTTTATTTTTGTAAATACAACATCCCCAACTTGTATTCCCCTTTCTATTGAAATACTGCAGTTGTAATTAAACAGCGTTTTGAAAATATCTCCTGCTGTGTTACAACATGTAAACACATGTCTTCCACACACACACACAATTAACGTGGAAAACAAGCAATAACACCAGAATCAGCGTCAGCAGGAAGTTTTAATTTACAAAACAATTATTTTAAGAAAAATATCATTTTTCTATACATTAGGTCAGTGTTTATACTTTTTCTTCCGCTTCATTTTAGACACCAGAATATTTATTTGGTGTGAAATGGCTAAATGTTAGAGAAGAGCTTATCTCACCACAAAATTCGATCATGAATGTAACAGATACAGCCACAAAAATTGTAAGTAAACAATGGTGTAGCACACCATTTCATCAATGATCAAGATAGTCTATATGAATAAATACATAAAGTATTTATTTGTTATATTTCTTCCAATTTTACTTATCTTATTTATCAACTTAATCATATGATTCTGATTTCATTTTACACAAGAAGAAATAAAATGTCATTTAACGTAAACAAAATGATTGAACACTTGACATTATTTTGTTTTTTTTACGCGTATTTTCAAACAAGTGTACACAACTAAGAAAAAGTTACGATTTAAATGTACTATCAAAACTTTTCCACTGTGTAGAAACAAAAATTTGTGCTTTAATAAAAAAAAGATGTTTCCTTATTCATGACTAGAAAGGCAACTGTGATAAGTGGTGGTATTCAGAATAAAACAAGATACGAACTATTCATTGATGTGAGTAATTAAAAGCCACTTGTATCAATCATCAGTACTTACCCAAGTGGAGGGTGGTTGTCTTAACATAGGGTGGTTGTTTCTCCCTTCCGGTTGCGACCTCATCAACAGGGTATTTAAAAGGCACTTCTTTTGCATAGTCGAATCAATTAAACCAACAAGAAATTCATTAAATCATGCAATATATCTTAAAAATAACGAATTGTATTCATAGCTAGTATCTTCGTTGTTTGAGCTAAAATGATATCAGTCTATCCTAATAAACCCATGATGAGCTCTCGTACAAACAAACGGAATGAATATTGGATATTAAGGCATTCCACTTTGGTTAACGAGCATTACTATCTGACTTGATTGGTCTCCAACTGTTTACGTCAGTCTGTATTATTTGATGTGTTGCATTTTGATAAGTTTCTCAAATTTCTCTTATAATGCGAAGCAAGTCATACATAGTAATATGAATACTTGGAATGTCCCCACGAAACAGCTCCTGCGTTATCTGTATTCATAAAGTAGCTAAAGTTGAAACCCCAGAGAAAATGTTGAGTGGATCGAACAACAGATGGCACGACCGTCTAACTGAAAGAAGGGGCCTGCAGATAATTAGTGTGGAGACTTCGACAATGAGAAAATGTAAGCAAATTTTGGAATGTCATCTGTTGGTGAACATCTAAGGGTTAAGTCGTTCACTCAGCAACGAACAATGTTAAAAATCTAGTCGCATATGTACCTAACTAAAACAAAACAGTTTTTCTAATGAATCGCTTTTCTTTAATATTAGATGTTCAAAAGCAGTCGGCAAGATGCTCTGATTTATACCTGAGTCTCTTAGTTGAGTCGAAAGACCACATACTTGGTAAACGTTACGTTGTTGTTATGCATCCTGCTGGAAATTAGATTTTTCTTTTGACTTAAGCCATTTTTTCACAGCATTTAAGACAGTTTGGTAAATGAAACTATCGATTTAAACAAATTTTAAAAACTTGTAGCTAAGTTAAATTTCAACCTTATGTAGGGAAAACCTAATGTTTACTATTTTAATTTTTATTATTTATCATATTTAGTGATACTCAGAGAACGAGTGGTCAATTATAAGTTTGTATACTGAAAAGATATTCTAGATGTGATATACTGAAGTTTTAGTCTGATTTGAAGTCACTTTAGCAGCCGATTCATATACTGGAGATGATTTCCATAATGGTTCTGGTATAGCTCGGACTCTATTACTATTTATTCTTTTAGTTAGACGAACGTCGACATCATAGGAACAGTTTATCTCTAGTAAGAAAATTACTTATACATAATGATATATATTTTATTGTCTAAGGACTATCTCAATATTCAGCCTTCAGTAAAATTGATGCTTTTCATCTGTTGGGCCAATGTTCGTTGTGGCATAATAGTCATAACTCACGTCTGAACTCATTTCATTCATTTCCTACTGCAAAAGAATGAAGATTACGTTGTAAATAATAGATTCAACCTGGCAATCTGCTTAAATCCCTACGCTACTTAAATTTCCATCCGATATTATGCATAAACTCACCTACATTTCTTGTTGTTTTAATTTTTTAACTGCGTTTTCGGATTGCTACAGAAACTGGCACACAATTTTAGTTTGGCATACTGCAGAGGAATTTTCTACAGAAATGAGTAGACATCGCATAAATTTGGATACTGCTTCATATGGAACAACACAACGTCCCATGATATACTACCAAGTACCATTTTACTTGAAGATCCTGTGCGAAAAGTAGATATTTTGCAGTTTAAATACGTCAAAAATTCTGTACTATGTGTTAAGATACAGTCTAGAACAAACCTGCTATTATTATTGCTACTACTAAATATAGTCACTCGGCTATTTGGTAGTAAGATTTATTATTTGTGGAAAAGCGAACTGAACAGGTTCTTAATAATGTTAAGATTACTAGTAGTGTTAATTAATAAAGTGTGAAGTAGTAAAATACTACGAAAATAAAAAAAATTAGACGCAAAGAAAATGTAAAATTCTGATATGTAGCATATTTAAGGAACTAAAAGCTCGACATATCTTTTTAAAACAACTCATACAACTTTCCAAGTAGCGCACGAAAACTTTTAAATTAATTTGAAGAAATTCTATATAGCATAACAACAAACTTCATTATTTTTAATTTTACACTGAGATTGTGTTTTATTGTTGTACAGTCTACCTTTATACTAATTAGACTGAGGAGATATATCAACAAAATATAAAATAAACACTCGATCACTAATTAGGGAAGATGTTAATATCAGTAGATTTTTGTTATTTTTAATGCTAAAAACTAGTTGAAAACAAACATCGACCAGTTTATTAGT